GAATATGAGCTCTGGAGCAGTCCAACTCTCCAACTACTTCGATCATACCTCTGCATGATCAAGTCCCTCCCATGGAACTCACTGGTACTTGCATTCGAACTTTTCCCTTGGTGGAACACAGCCCCCATATGCTGATGACCAAGGTTTCCATCCGATGCAAAATTCGATGCACGCACAGAAGACCCGCCTCTGCGGTACCATAGCCTTCACTCCTTGAATCCATAGCCCTTCTTGTCGTCGTGTTGTTCACCGAAGTGGAGCTTCCAGTAGCTCCTGATCATACCTTCATATGATCTAGTCCCTCCCGGGACTATGTCGTGTGTATCGCATTGCTACGAACTGTTCCACCACGATCCGCTGCACCATATCGCCTCCTGGTGACATCTCCATTGCATTCTGATCCTTGTGGAATAAACTCGAATTGTGAACCCTCCATGTGTGGCCTCTGTCAATACATCGCAGGGTCTCTTCCACCTTCGATTTTGTTCGCTCCTTTGGCAATCGACCTTCATCCACCCACTCTTGGATCACACCTAGATGAAGCACCGCTCTAGGATAGTCCGTCGCCTAGTAGCTCCCGAAGTCCACCGACTTCACTGTAATTTGTGCACCATTGTCTGGATCCTAGGCCTCTGCCCCTACCAGCACAATTTCCGCTACGCACCGCTTCCTTCATGGCAACTTGAATGGCAACACTGTGGCATATTCTTCAAGAGTACCCGCCTCTGCGTTCTCTTGCCCCGTGCTAAGGTCTTCTGAACCCAACTTCGCCTCCGCAAATTGAGTCGCCTTAGTTCCTCCATCAAATGCTCCTGCGAGATAAGGTGCATGTACCCAGAAGCTCCCTTCGTCTTTGGCACCATGCAAGATGAGTTTGTTCCGTCAGAATGAAGGACCCATGGAACAACATGATCCTACTCTTGCCTCTACAAGAGTTCATGTCCTTGACCTCTGTCTAAGGAAAGCACTGTGCCTCTGCTCAATGTTCCAACTTCTATGCTGGCTCCCTTCATGTGGCTTGGGTACTTCGCCAAGTTACACCCAAGTTGCTCCGCTCCTCGTTTTTGCATTGAGTCAATGGTGGCCCTCGCGCCCACCATTCCACAGGTCAGCCCTCCCTTGAGTCCGATCTCCACATCGACTCTAAGTGTGCCTTCATTTGTGTTGCTTTGGGTCGCTCCCCCACTTGATCTCGCAATGCATCCACCAATGCATTCTCTCAAGCGAGATCATGCGACGACTCCTCGCCGTTTGCTCAGTCCATCGAGCTTCGTGGAGTTGTTGTTTGTTGAGGTACTCCTCAACCTGTGAGGTCCGTCCCACATGATTCCCCCTCTGGAGAGCCGGGACTTATCCCTCCTGGATAACTGTCCCATTGGAGCAACATCTCTCTTCGTTTCGGAGACCACCATCCCCTTGGACTACTCTGATCTGTTGAACAAACTGTGCATTGTTCTGCCTCCTGCAAACGCACTTGCTAGATTGCGACTCCACGTCAATACAGCCCCCGCTGCACCACTCAAGGCCTAGCAACATGCTGAACTCGTTGCACACTTCAGCCTCCTACGGACGTATACTTCACATGTCGAAGAGAAAGTTCCAATGCTCCATGGCGCCGAGTTTCGGTCGCCTTGGGATGGCCACGAACATTCCATCGTCCGCATACAAGCCCATGCATGAGTACCAAATTCTTCGAGCTAGCAATTCCCCTCACCTCTGTGAGCTTTGCATAACTCTTTTGGTCGTTGAGCAACTCATTCCACCTTGGATGGTCTCATCTTTTACCAAGCGCCTCGCTTGCCTTGAGCACCATCAAGTATAGTTGTCAACGTTGAGCCGTAGCTCAAACTCAACCATCCCAACCTTTGTGCGCTCCGCATTCTTCCAAGCTTGCCTATTCTCGTGGTGCCTCTTGCGCGAAGGGTTGGTCATTCCTCTGAATGCCAATGTCAGATGCCCACTCCTCCGAGCGACTCCTTTTCCCTACATCTTCATGCTCGTTTTCCCCCAAACGGTCGCGCGTGTGCTGACTGCCCTCAACGCAGCCCCACTAGGTCCCCCACGTTTGCATGCTAAGTGTTTCTATGAGTGCTTGTCCCGCTCTGATACCATCTGTCACGGACTTAGCTGGTTTTGCCTAAGTCGTGCAGCATCCTTGCGTGTCCGTCCGCAAAGGTCAGCCTCCCCGAAGCCTCCCATTGTCCCTTAGGACCAACAAAAGAGAGAACGGGTTAGAGAGAACGCCTCAATCAGGATCCACAAGCAAACATCTCCGAAAAACACTTCATAAACAATGCAAATTACAAACAGACTTTACAAGCTCTGAACAGTAGCACAACAAAGGGTAAAATGATCCATTACAGACCGAAAATCTCTCACACGTGTCCACATGACACAACTTTTATTTACAAGCCTAAAGAAGCCACCAACCCAACTAAAATGGGACTATTAAGCCTTCGACCACCCCTCTACATGTTGTACAAGGCATGAATATGCCAAAAGACACGGACATACATAAACATTACATCAAACATCCTGTTTCGAAGTTTGTCCGTGACACCATGGTGCCACCCAGGTGGTTCTAGGGTGCTGAGATGGCTGACGTTTCGCGTGCAGTAGCGGGCTACAGAAAGCAGCCCGTGGCACGCGAAAACGGAGTTGTTTTGGACTGTTTTGCTCGGTTTAGTGAGTGGTCACACTGTAGCGTTGCAACTTGTTCGAACTTATATTTTTACAAGAAAAATGACATAAAACCAAGCCAAAACATGCTGCCACAACTGTACATGTAAACACAAACAACGAACGGTTCGTTGAACAGAGTTGTTACAGGTGCGCGACGACCGTTCGTGACACTTCGTCCAATTTCTCACCTCTATGGCACCTCTCTTCATAGCTCTCAAGACCAACGCGACTAAGGCGTACCTCGTCAACACCTCGCAGCTCTGTCAAGAACATCAAAACAACAATGTCAGCACACTCGAACCAAAGACAGCTGAATAAACATCTACGTCCGTCAAAACCCAAACCTTCTGCATCTTCGGCTTCGAGACTAGGACCGGGCAACATTCTCCAAACTACCGTGATGACTGACGTGAAAGCCTCCGCTTGCTTGGAGGGCACCTGTTGCGCCTCCAACCTCCTCACCTACATAAACACAAACACCTATAGCGCAACTCGAAACCCTTATCGTCAATGTTTCTCGTAATCCAGCCAACATCAAATAACAAGTGCGGCGTACCAAAGCCAAAGTATCGATGACGTACGCCCTATTCCCATTGGTCCTGACGAGCGGCGGGAAGAGGTGCGGCAGCGACAAGAAATTGGACGAATGATGCAGCTGGCGACCTGCAATTCCACCCAGGGCAGCGAAAAAAATTCCTACGTCGATGGAGATGGAGGAGGTGAAGTAACTAAGTAGAAAAAAATTCTAGGTCGACGGAGATAGAGATAGAGGAAAGGAAGAAAGGGTTGGACCGCTGCCAAAATCTGGGGGTCTAGCGACGATAGGTGAGGGGTGGGAGAAGTCAGAGGGCGATGTCCGAACCAACGCCGCTGCTGCGTCGGCGATTTCGGTTGGAGCTGTGGCAGCGCGGCTCTGTTACGACGAAGATCGCGAGTGACGGAAGCGGGCCGCCGCCATCAACGAGGAAAGGAGAAGTAACACCGATGGCGCGCCTCCCATAACAATTTTGATATTGATGTCCGTGTCGGAGACCGACGCATGTATGTATTAAAGAAATAAAGATGAATTATCATTAAAAAAATCTCTAATTTTGATTTTGCCCACCGCAAGTTAAAACTTTTCATATCAATTTTTAAAAAAATATATTTTATCTTTATCGATGATTGCCTCATGCCGGGTAAATGTACACATGACAATCTTACCCGTCGTGGTCGATACTCTCATCGACCACCCCTCTTCAATCGAATAGTCGCATGTGCCTTCGTGCACAAGCTGCCCCCTTTCGCTCCCTTGGGATTGGTAAGCAATGTTAATCATCATCCCCCCTTGATCGTTTACTCCTTCGTGGATCGGTCATGTTGGTTCTCTGTCCTCCTCTTCTTTAGCCACCTATGCCACCACAAGTTGGACGGCAAATAACGCTGGCCACCTCCTCTCCTCTTATAGTTATCCATGTACCTCTATATACGTGTTAGTAATACCAACAATGATATCGTTGTCTAACAATAAGGTATCATCAACCTTCTAACATTCTGTGAGCGGATCAATCAATGAACCCATTCTCCAATGATCACTTATATTGTAGCTCTAGTATCCTCACACGAGTCATGAGACCAGTCGTCTCCATCATATGGATGAATATATAGCAAGCTAGTTTATCTGATTATCTCGTTGTTCCTCTCGAGTAACTTATAACTAGAATTATTTAGGGTATGTGTTTAAAGATGAATCAGTCTTATTATCGTGATCTCATCACGATCTGATTCTCATTGCACAAATCCATTGACATCATTATATATATATATATATATAATAAACAATATAAAGTGAGAAAATATAATAATAATAATAAGCAAAAAAACTATGTCATGTCACATATACCATTAGTCACGTGATTTACTTACAAGGCACCTATGACTAACAGATGTCCCTATCGAGTAACCTACGATCGGGATTATTCAGGGTTTGTATTTAAAGGTAAATCAGTCTTATTATTGTGATCACATCACGATCCAATTCATATTATACATATCTATGGACATTATAATATATGCAACATACAATATAAAATGATAAAAATATCAAATAAACAATAAGCAAGAAGAGTATGTATGATATTATACGTGTCATCATGACTCTAGTAGCTACCATGACCGAGGCACCATACATTACATCATCTCCATGGGAAGGAATCGCTTACTACCTGCTTGAATCCACGTCGTCTCTTGCGTTAGCAGCTATTGTGCCCTATTATCATTTCATACTTATGGCTTCGCTGCTGGGAAGGCTATACATAACTTTTGAGATATGTCAATTAAATTGACATCAACCTCAAATTCAATACCTATAACTTTCAAATCCACATGCACATTTTAGATATAGAATCTAACCCATATTCATTTCATATCCAATCCGAACGGTGAAAAATAGATGCCAATGTGAGTACTGTGATTACCCTATGCTTAAATAATTGTAAATTACTCGATTTCGTATTGACATACGAAAATTAATGGTCCTATCAGTGTCACATTATGAAATTATTTTTTCATAGGATTATAATATCTTTCTACGGGTGGATCAAGAATTAAATAAATAAATATTTTTTTAATATATAAATGATAAAATATTTATTGTAATTTATTTATTCATTAAATATTAATCAAAATTTTAGATTTTTTTATAGGAATTCACTTAAGAAATAGTTACTTTAACTATATATATATATATATATATATATATATATATATATATATATATATATATATATATATATATATATATACGTGGACATATAAAACTTGTGTCACACTCTGAAATTTTTT